GATGGCATAAAATCAGCCTTGAAATGTTAGTAGGAAACTGTAAAGTAACAATACAATGTGTCTGGTAGTAAGTTACTGATTGATCTATATATAATTGATAGAGTTATTGACAGTTTAGTGGTTCTGTGGCCCTTCACTATAGTAGCAGTTTTGTTCCATTTTTAGAGTAGTTATTTTCTAGAACACAGGTCACAATTTAATGTTGTTTTCTGGACATTCTCAAAATAGTAACAAGTATTATTACTGTAGGATTCACTTTGAATAGCATATGTGTTACTTGCAACTGGAGAGGTTGTTTCTCTTCTTTTAAAAGTCAAATGTGGAAAAAAAATCCTGGCTTTATTTACACATTTTGGGCTTGGCTTGGAGATTCTGTTTCTGGAAGAATCTCCTATCCTGCTTCTCTTCTCTGTATTTCCCCTCTCCTTGCAGTAAAGATTGCCTGTTTTTAACAAATGGTTTCCTTTGCAAAGAGAGAGAACATAGCAACCTTAATATTATGAATTTACCAAATGATAGGCATACACATTTTAGCACGAACATCCAATAAAAATAAATACATCTGCAGTGAACATGGTAAATTATATGCGAACTTACACTATAATAATAAACAGGAAACAGCAGCATCTGAGTCTGCAACTGGCTTCTCAGGAGGCTTCATGCTTCCAGCTGTGGTAGCAGCTGCGGATCTGGCTCTGCAACTCTTGCTGAAACAAACTGACAAAGGGCTGATTACAACATGGAGTTCAGTTTCTGCTTGGATTCATTTTCCTTTTAACACACTTTGGTTATGAAAAGTTTGCTCATTTACCCTGTTTGTGGTTTTATGTCCTGCACTTCACAGTCATTGGGCTGGTGTGGTGATTATCACCACTCCTAATGACCTTGATCGTGGGGACCTTTTACTGCCTATACTGTTTGTGGAACACTGTAATTTGGTTTTGGCTTACTGGAAGTAATTGAAAAAAAACTCTCTTCCCCTTCCTTCTCCCTCCCCATCCCGAGAGGCTGTTCAGCATTTTTGTCCAAAATATTACGCAGTAAAGTTGTTGGGGTTTATTTTTTAAAATGTTTTTATATGCAGAGAAAACAATTTATGAGAACACCAAATGATACTCACCTGCAGTGAAATCTGCAGAACATGCAAGAGACTGTGTCAGTTCTGCCAGGTGAAACAAGCAGAGAACTCCTTTGTATCAGTTTTTGTTAAAGGGAGGAATTCTGCTTTCGCAGAACCTGAGTGAGCCCAACAGCATTTACCCATGTGTTCCTAAAGCAGCTGTATAGACACCTTCACACTGCAGGCCCTTCTTTTCACCTCTGTTTGCATGGGCTCTTTTCTTGATTGCTTGCTAAATGTAGTTAAGCTACGAAAATGTCCGGCCTTGATTCAGCAAAGATTTAAGCATGTAAGAATTAAACACTTCCATTGCAGTCAGCTTTGTGAACTCCCAGATATTTGCTTCTGCTCTCATAGTGTGGAGTGTCTCTAGTGAATATCTTGAGACCAAGACAGTCTTTTTCGTTACAAAGCCTTTTTTTCTCTCAGTCCCGCCATCTTTTTAGAAAACAGCTGTATTCTCCAACTTAATTGAATCCCAAAATTAAATCCCAGTTGCCTCTGTAACTCACTGCTCAAACTCTTCTCTCTTTTTCCATCTGCTGCTTTTTCTTCACATAGGATCTTGGTTTTTTCTCCTAAGGAAAAACAGATACAGTATGCTCTTCGTTCTGTCACTCTTTTCTCCCTCTCCTCCCCTAATTCTTCTCCTCCACTGTCAGAGCAGCAGGAGTTTCTTGTCTATTTTCCATCTGTACCACTTCCACTTGCCCCGATGACCCCATGTTCTGTTCTCCCTCTTATTTCTCCCCTCCCTTATTCTCTTTCTTAACCTCTCACTGTCCTCTGGCTCTTTTCCACTGTAATATAAGCAAGCATTTGCCTCTTAAAAATTGTACCTTTGACCCTACTTGGTTATTCATATCATATCTCATCGCCTATCTCTTCTTCATTCCTATGCTCATTGAAGGCGCTGTTTATAATTACTATCTGGAGACCCTCTTCTGTGATTCCTTCCTATAACTCCTACACTTTGGCTTCTGTTCCTTGCTTGCAACTGCAACAGCTCTCACCAAACTCCCCGATGACAACATCTCAGAAACAGTAGTCTCTTCTCATTCTTCTTGACTTGTCAGTAGCGTTTGCTGCAGTTGACCAGACTCTTCTTCAAACTTGTGTCTTTTATTGCTTTCTGTGGCTCTGTCTTGATAATTTTCTTCTAATTTTCTCCTTTCAAGTGCTAGGCTCTCTGTACCCCTGCTAGCTGTACTCAGCCCTTGCCAGCATCTGTTACAGCCTGCATTACTTTTTCTGCAAATGACTCAAATTGTATCTCTTATTTCCAGTAAGAATATAGCAAGACCTTGTCAAATGGATTTAATATTTTATGTCCTCTATTAAAAATGTTTATCTTGATAAATGTTTGGGGTGCATTTTACTCTTTTACAGCCTTATTTTAAGCATTTCACTTTCCTTGTCATTGCAATTAACTGAGTCCCATTTCTAGTGCTCCTGTCCTTTCTCCATGGAATCCTAATGCTTTTTTTCTGTAATGACAGTACCAAGAAATTTGTTATCACCACATCTCCAATTTTTTATGCCAATGCATTAGATGAAAATATTAGATAAAATTTTGAGAAGCTCATCCTTGATGAACTCTGCTGAAAAGCAGTTCTTTCATTCTCCACAGGACTTTATTCTTTCTCTAGTAGGAAGTTCTTTACCTGCCAGATTCTTTCAGTAATCCCTATTTTCTCTGGTTTAATGTAGAATATCAGATGCCTTGATAGATTTAAACAAGGAAAATATGATAGATATAAATGTCAGTCTAGTCACAATGGCATAAGCATGCAGAGTTCATAATCTCAAACAGATTTGTACATTATAGTAGGCAGATTCCTCAGGTCACTACATACCTTCATACCCCAGCAAGCCCAGATGAATTATGTGAGCTCAGGCGTGTTTCTGCTGGCTGGTGTGAACCACAGGGAGTATTCCCTTGTTCCCTAGATACCTTTCAGCCTGCTTTTACTTTTGTTTGCCCTACTCCATTCCAGATGTCATTCATGCCACATTATCAGTACCAAATGCACGTCTTCTTGATCTAACATATGAAGCCGTTAGGAGCATGTAAAGATATATATAATTAAAGGCAACATGCACATATGTACTGCATGTTTTGCATTTACTTTGTATTTAGTACTGTTCTTGCTTACTTCTTGTTTCTTGCTTACTAGTAAGTCCTATGGCTGATGTTGAAAAATAATTTCAGTAGAAGTCTGTGTATTTACTAGCTCTGTGCACTGTAGTGTTATGTGAAAAGCAGTCCTATTGGTCTGAAATTTCTAGTTTCATTTGAAAAATTGCCTGTGCATAAAAAAAAAATAAATTATCCTGAATTGTTTTTGGGATATGTGTCACTAATAAGCAGGGCACTGTTTAACTGTTAACAATAAAATTTAACTGTTTTTTTTATCTTTAATGTAGATAAGAAAATTTTAGAATTTTGAAACTTAAACAGTGACATCTAAATTCGGGCTAAATTCAGATTTAATGAAATCTGTGGCCAGGTTTCAAAAACCTGGTTTTCATAATGACGTACAGATAATTGAGATCATGCCTAGTAGGCATCTAGACTAAAATTATGAGCAGGATGTAATGGACCCAACCACTTCTGTGGAAACAAAATTAATTTCTGTTTCTTTGTCAGGGCTAATCAAGTTATTTTTAGGTTCAAGGTTTGCATCATTCTTACTGTTACTTCCAATGTGCCAACACAGTACCTTCATATAAGGGATAGAATATGTTCTATGCATTCACATGTTGACTTTTTTCCACTTTTTTTTTTTTCGCCTGTTACTTGTCCTAATTTCACATTCCATCAATCAGTTTCTCCTTCAACTGCAAAGAAACAATACATGCTTTACCTTACAGACCTTGACTATGTATAAACTGGCATCTGTTCAATCCTGTTTGCATTATGCAATGTATAATTTTACATTATATCCTTCAGTGTTGAGGGAAAGCGAATGATGGGGGATCGATGAAGGCTTTTATTCTTCTACTAAGCAGCTGAAAAACCTCCAACTGGGCCCCTGTCTGCCTCTGAATCTGTTGCAGATCCCTCTACAGCTATGCTTACTTTGATTTTAAATGACCATTTCTGGTTAATTTAATCCTATTCCTAATCAATTTAAGATAAACAATTAGGAATTTAATTGGAATTTTGTGGCTCTTAATCATCATTAAAAAAGGAAATTTAAACCAAATTCTACACTAAGACACCATTAAGACTGAACAATGGAGGCTTGATTGTGGCTTTCAATTTTTGTGCTTTGTGGAGTCAGTAGCTGCTGAGACACAGTCAGGCTTCTCAGTTTCTCCTTCACCCAAGGCATACTTAAACTACAGCATGCAATGGAGCTGTAATTCTGGGACAGAAATGCCAGATAGGAAAGCTACCCTATTCACCACAATTCTAATGTCTTATGAGATAGTGGGGTTCTTATAAGTTGGTTGTGTCCATATGTTGCTCTCTGTGATCCAGGTAGCAGGCACAAGGAAGAAAATAACTTCCTCTGAATAGCTTGTGTGGGCCACGCAAGACGAAGCCTGAGCTAGCTCTTCAGAAGGAAATGCAAAAATTGAAGTCTCCTGCAGCTGTATTGACTTGGCTGCATTGTTAGTCCTTTAAAACTTGTGGCATGCATTGAGCATAAATAAAGCTATAAATGTTTGTGCTGTGATTTAAAAATAAAATTGATAAACCTGCTATTTTTATCTGATGTAAAGTTTAACTTTTCATTCAAATATTTATTCTACATTGACTTGCTTAAACATCCAAAATTATATTTAACCTTTTTTTTTAATATATAAAATAGATGGATATAGATATGCATATGTAAACCAGAAGTATCTTTCTGTGTTCTTTTTATTGTAGCTATGTGTCATGTGCATTGGGATGCCCATATGAAGGAAGCATCAGACCAGCTAAAGTGGCAGAAGTAAGAGTGAACCTCTAGCTTGTCTTTCTAATGAATCAGAAATATATTTTAAAATGTTTATAAGTAATATTCAATACTTAATCCTAGAAAGGTCTTTAACAGATAAAATTTAAGGGAAACAAACACAAAACATAGCTAATACTAAAACTGGGTGCATAACCTCACTCAACCATATGCAGTCAAATCATAGGAAAATAGTATGATTTGATTGTTATCAGTCATGAGTAAAAGTATTATGTGCTATTTCCTCCAACAAGAAGGTAAGGAAATGCCTAAGGAAATAGATTCAAGCACATATGTCAGTGGACCATGTTGTACAAGATGATTTCCAGCACCTCTTGCAAAGGGTATCTGCTTTCAATTCTGTTTTATGCTGGCATAAGCACACTGTGCTGTCAGCTAGTAGAGCCACTGCTACAACATTGTGCTTCTGACAAGTGTCATGTGATTGATGTATGAACCAAAATTCATCTCCAACATGACTTCCTTCAACTTAATTTTCCTTACTGCTATGATGGAATAAGCTTCATCTTCTCTCCCCACCCCCTTTTGCTATTTAGAGTGAAGGAGAAGAAAGACAATATCTTCGTCCAGCCTTTTTTTTCCATCAGAGAAAGAGATGAGTGAAACACAAGTGTTAAATTTTGCAGGAAGGCAAAGAGGGCATCAAACCTGAAAAGGACAGTAGAGAAAAGAGTGGAGAGAATTCAAGAGACACAAGGCAGAACACACTGGAGAAAGACTTGTCTTCTCTGTTACACTTAATCACTTTTGGTGATCTACCAGGATCTCCAAACCACTTTTGTTTTGTCTATGTAGCACTAACAGCTAGTCAGCATTTCTCTGATATATTGTATTCTGCCTGTGTGGCTTGCAGGTCTTGTTCTCCTACATCTGCTAGTATACAGTCCAGATGGAACTTGTGATAAAATTTCCCCCACAGCAGCCACTTATACTCACACTCTTTGAGAAAAATATCTAAACTGGAAGGTACACAGTATTTCAAAATGAATTTGATTTAATATGAAGTGAAAGTTAGAAGTGACACAGCTTTAGTTAGAGCAGTGATGACAGATTCAGCTGTGCTGTTGGTAAATTGCTTACTGCAGTAGCATGTTCCCCAGTAGGCTTCTTTCCTTGTGTTGCTTGTTTTGAACTACTCTCCTTGCACAGAAGAGCTCCAGTTTGCCAGTGGGAGTGCTACTTGATGTTCCAGACATGCAAACTTTTACTCGCACAGATATTTTATTTTCTGTCTTCATCCTAATCAGTCTTGTCTTGTCTACCTGTACCCCATTGTGTATGTGTTTAAGAATAAAAGCTGCCTCATTAGAGTTATTGAGGCCCTGATTCAGCAAGCAGTGGTGTTTATATAGAAGCACCTGATTAGCTGTTAATGGATTTCACATAAACACATGCACTCATCCTTTGCTGAGTAAGAATTATCAAAATTACTGGCTGTCTTGCTAAACAGTTTCAGAGAGGTCTCTCTGGTCATCATCTTTCTCAGGATCGGAGTGTGTGACTCCCTTGACTGTGCATTGCAATCAGCAGCTGTGTTTGAAAGTTTTAGACTGTTTCTTCTACAGTCAATGAGAGTGACCAATTTCTTTTTTTTTTTTTACTGAAGCAAATCTAGTTAGGAGCGGTGGCTCATTAACCAGACTACACACATTTCTGGCTTACTGGATACAAAACTTTCATACACAGTTATCTACTGAGTACAAACTTCAGATGCCTTCAGATTCTAGAATTCACCTGGTGCATTCATATGGTTATTAAAAAAAAATATATATATTAAAATAAACTGCGTAGTCCTTTTTTTATCACTGTTTTTTTTCTTGAAATGGAGTGACTGTTTAACCATTTATCATCCTGTGATTTGTGAATTTCAGCCTTAGGAAATAAGGCTTGAAAGTCGTTGAAAGCACTATGTAACATCCTTGAAGCCAGTTGTGTTAACCATTGTTTCCCAGATATATACTCAACTGTTTTTGTCTTTCTGCCTGATTTTTTCTCTCCTTATCTTCCTTTTAACCTAGAGCACTGAATTCATATAAGTATTATCCAACATATAGGCTGATCAGGCTACAGAAAATGTGCCTGTTCTTATTTGAATGCTGTTGGATTATTATAAAGTCTTTCTTGTACTACAAGGACTGCAGTATGGTTTTATGCTGTTATTTGCTTGAAGTCATCTGTAACTCAATTCTGACCTTTTGTATGCAGTTTAAGAGTATAGTTCTAGTTATTACTTGCAGCAATACGATTGTTCACGTGCCTAAGGGGTTGCAGTGTTGGGTCACTAAATCCCATTTTGATCAATGCTTGGTGTCAAGACATTGCTCCCAAGGGGAGTAGCCTGAGATTCATGGATAGTAAAACTACTCAGTGGTGCAGAACACAACCCTCTTCAGTCAACAAAGCTGAAAGCTCATAATCACATTCTGATTACACTGACCAAACAGTGTGTTCTCTTCTCCCCCATCCTCCTCCCCAAAATCCACACTGAAAATTTACAAAACTACAACTAATGGACTGCCTCCTACTATAGTAGGGTAGGAAATCTGATATGAAAAACTCCTATTCAGCTTCCAAGCATGCACATTCTTCTTGAAATTAAATATAAATATATTTTTAAGTGTCAGTTTAAGGTTAGATCATAAGAAGTCAGTGGTGATGCTCAGGTTGTTAGTAGAGATTCACCCTTTTTTCCATCTTTCAGAATTTTATTTTCAGAAGCTGAAAGACCTAAGGACTGATGATGGGAGAGAAATGAATGGAACATGATTTTTAGCAATTTGTTGTCATCACTAAAATGCTCATCTAGAAAAACTTTGAAACAGGAATGAAGAAGAACATGAGGAGAAAAAAAAAGCATTCTGCTTTTTTTACCCTGATCCTGAACAAAAGCTGGTTTGGGGATTAACTAGATGTAATCTACCACTAACTGCAGAAGACCTTTTTTTTTTTTTTCCTTACAACAGTAGTCCAGATAAAACACCTGCCATGTGTTGATGATATAAAAATATGCTGTAAGTTAGAATCCTTTTTTCAGTCTGGTGAATGTCCCTTTCATAAGGCACATATTGAATTTATGTTGATGTGAATCAGGGGCTACTTGACTTTAAAGCCCAAAGTTTTACTACCTTAGAAACAGTCATAGCACTTCCGAGCTTTAAGCAGAACGATTCAGACTACTTGAAGTTCTTTTTCAGCTGTTCCTTGAATTAAGTGAACAGCAATATTAATCCAGCACTTCCGAGACTGCTGGTGCAGCACTTTGTCAGGCTTCCTCAGACATATTCACAGCAATCCCACTGATGAAGTCCTAGAATTGCTTTAACAGCAGAGTGCAGTACAACTGAAGATGTCTTGGAAAAGGGTTGTATTTTTTCATTTCTAAACAGTTAATTTCCAGATTTGGATTCCATTCCAGTGGAGCAGCCTTTTGGGATTTCTTATACACAGTGGGGAGCGCTAAAGGAGGCAAATATACTCAGCAACTGAAAATAAGGTGAAACCCTTTCAGAATAAAGTCAACAAAGCTAAGATGGAAAAATCCTACATTCAATTTCTATAAGCAATGTTTTTTGTGCAAACGTAGTTTTGTACCTCTGAGATTCAGACATGGAGTCAGACCTCAAAGCTCTTACTCATGCAAAGAACTCAAAGATGTAATTGCAGAAACATTTAGGGATCTACTTATATAGGTAAGAACTATTTGTATAGGTTTTTGTTTGATATTAAGAAAAAAATCTAAACTTAAAAGACTAGAAAATTAAGTTACAGTTTTGCTTTGTTAATGTTTCAATGTTTGTTTTAATGAAAAGCCAGCAAAATTAATGTTAACTACATGTTAAAACCTGAATTTTCGTTTCTGTTTTCAGTGCCAATGGAAAGCAAGATTGGGCTTCTTATTAATTATTTATTGTCATAGTTCAACCATGTGCTTGGCTCCATATAATAGGCAAACAAAAGGGCAGGTCTTTACCCTGAACAGCTTGTAAGCTGAAAACCAAACAGCTGGGAAATCCCCAGAGAGAGGAAGATGTTGGGAAAGGGCTTGACAGACACTTAATTCATAGTGTAAAATCTTGCTTATTTGGATTCTGTGGGAGAATCAAAAAGCAAGTTTTTGATGGATTTGGCTTGGTTGCTATTCCATGTACAGAAGCAGAACCATAAATTTAAAATAATAGGATCTATGGGATGTTCTTCCTGGGTGACAATTTTTGAGAATGAGTAGAGGATTTCTGGTACATAGGTCCACTTTGGTAGGTCAAAACCTGAAACCTGTACAGAAATGTGTCCTCTTTAATATGTGTTCTTGACCCTATTTTATATTCTTTCATCTTGACCTTTTCATATTTCTCTGTTTCTAATCAGGTATCTAAGCGACTGTACAGTATGGGCTGTTACGAAATCTCCCTGGGGGACACGATTGGTGTGGGGACTCCTGGAAGTATGAAAAGAATGTTGGAAGCTGTTATGAAAGAAATTCCTCTGAGTGCTCTTGCTGTTCACTGTCATGACACTTATGGCCAGGCATTAGCCAATATCCTTACTGCCATACAGGTAACTCAAGTTCTCATTTTGTAGATATGATAATAGTAGTCTTAGCTTAATTCAAATGCACAATTTAAAGAAAATTCCAGCATTAAAGAAGTTACTAGAAAAGGATAGAGGCAATCACTAAGCTTGCGGAAAGTATTGCACACACATTGGATCGTCTACAGGTATTACTGCTGTTGCTTTTGCAAAAAACTTAATGTTCTTATCTATTTATAACCTTCAATTCCATACTAAATCACTAAGAAACAGTGGTGATTATTGTATTCCACTGATTTTGGGTGAATGGGGGAGATAAAATAATTTTTTTTCCTGATGTCTCACATTCCACATGTTTATGTTCATTTTTCACTAAATTAAAATTTCTGTTTTATAGAGGTGTCTAAATATAAAACAGATTAATGCATAATTGATTTCAGATGGATAAATTAAATTTTTGGTCATTATGTACATAGACTGGTCTAAATAATTTTATTGCTATTACCATCCTTTCAGTGTGCTCGTTAAAAAATCAATTACACCTTCTAAGTAGGATTAATAACAACTTTGTATATTTTTAAATCTTTCAAATCTGTGGCTAAATAAATAGTTAAACTCAATAAGGGATATTTTTACCTTTGTGTTTGTGTGTTTTTAAGAATAGGACACAATGCAAGAAACAGACTGCAAGTTCAAATGTAGTTTTTTTGTAAAGATGTAATCTTGAAAAATATCTTAATGTGTATATGCAACCCTAAGGAGAACTATTTTTATTAAATGTTACTGAATCAAAAGCTATTTACAAATTGTAGGCCTTATTGTTCTGTTTTATACTCAATGGCACCTTCTGCTTCCTTGCAATTCAGGCAGCCATTTTTAAGGTCAGCTTTCACTTGTCCTGACTTATTATTTTGGCAGTGTTCATATTATGTTGTTTAGAAGTAAAAGCAGTGTGTTTACAGTATTAGTTACATAAGCAACAAGAAGGAACAGGGAAATGTTTCAATATGGGAATCTCAGTGTGAATGACAAAATCTGGTAAAAAAGGTTCTAACTTCTACTCACAGTGTTTCTTTTGACCTTTACTGACTTCTAGTGTTGCAAATGTGTGTTTATGTACCATTGGGATAAATAAATTGTTAATTTCACAGTTAGCTTCAGTTGCAGATGTAACAGCTAAAAGCATGAAAACCCCTGAGCATGGGAGGAGCTCGATATAAAAATACTTGAAGCATTGTTTTTCAAATCCTTCCTTAAAATAACTGCTGTCATGGTGCCTACTAAACACTGAACGATGGCTATGCTTTGTTAACCCCAGCATTTGTTGTAATTGATTCTTGTTTCAGGTTTACCTCCTGATCCTATCTTTTTATTTATTTCTTAAATCAACTGTGTAAGAGTTTGAGGGGAAAAAAGCTCTTAGGTACCTAATGTGCAGGTCAGGCTAATTAACATGTAAATTCAAGAGAGAAATAGACCTGACAAAAAAAATCCATATTACAGCCTTCTCAGATTTATGGGAAGCTAGAGGTGCCTGAGACCCACCAGAAAACTTTACTCATGTTCTGCTACAGTGCATGTCGAAAGGTGCAGTGTTTTTGGCTGAGCTAAACTTGTCACAGACTTTGCCAAAAGTCCTTGATGAAGCAGGCATTACACAGTCTCTCTGACTGGCTTTGTGCAAGCAGCTCCTTGGCTTGCTCTGAAGGTAGGTCTCCAGGCTCTTGGATCCTCAAATAGGGCTTGCACATCACAACATCCTCTCGTGTCTCCGGTCAACTAAACGAGGCAGATAGCAGTGAATTTAGCTAAGTAATACTCCTTCTGAAAGAGGACAACTTTTACAGGTCAGCCTGATGGTAGTGCCCAAACCAGTGGATCAGAGTACCCAGGTCACTTCTAGCCCCTGCTGTCAGGCATGTCTGTGCTTTCCTCTCTGCCAATGATGCTTGAATGGCGAAGTACTGGAGTAAACCCACTTGTCTTCAACTCAACCATTCATTTCACAGACCAGACTCTCCACAGGCACAGTTCTTTACCCTTCCTCCTTTATGGGTCTGTGCGACCGACACAATATTTCATCAGAAGTGAAATGTGTTTGAGGGGTTATAGAAATAATGTGCTGCGGTTATTGTTTGAAAACAAGGTTAAAGAACATTCAGCAAGACAAATACACTCTTCTTAAGACATTGCAGACTACAATCTCAGGCCGAGTTGTATTGTATATTGTATTTCCTAAGAATTAATGAATGACAGCTGGAAAACCACAAATCACTCTGCACTAATTCAGGCATTGCTTCGATGGGAGATCTCTGAGGAGTGGAAAGAGGTGCTGGTGATTCAGTAAGTGATTTTTTATTCAGATCACATTGTTCCATTCAGGATTATACTTCCCAGAATATTTTCTTTTATTTGGGGCTGATCCAAAGTCATCTAGAACTGACAGGCCATATCTGTATAAGTAATTAGCAGGGAAGTAGTCTTGTAATTTTAGTATTCAGTTTTATGTGTGTTGTTTTAGCAAAAGAATAGGTAGTGAAAGATGGGAGAGAGATTAGCCAACTTGTAAAGGATAAGTAATTTTTAAGTTGTTGAAGTAAAAAATATAAATAGAAATCATTGCCTAGAGAAAGGAAATTCACTTTCTTTTGTGAAGAGAGTCTGTGTTAAAATGTGAGGAACATGAAGTGATGCTTCAGAACAAAACAGTAAACATTTAAAGTAGAAACGTGATTGGCTCTTGATTAAATGTTTTAATACAAAAATATCAGAGTATACAAGTTACTGAAGAGACAAATTCAGAAATGGGACGTGATGTGGCAATCTAATTAGAGGTTGTGGTATTTTGAGTAAAATTACATATGTGGCCTAGCTAATGTGACAAACACAAAATGTAACTAAAAGAAGTAGTAAAACATTTATAGGAAAATGTTACAGACCTCCAAGGAAGGGTAAAAAGATGGGTCAGGAAACTTCTGTGCTGGAGAGGCCCCAGTAAGGTAGACCATTGATCTGAGAAGATTTAAGTTACCTTCACAATTGACTCCTGTAATTTGTACAGAATGGGTAAGAAAGGGGAAATTTCTTAGTGGAAGTGATTCAGAATTCTCTTCTTGCATAGCTTGTGTAGTTGCCAGATATAGCTTTGCCTGTTTGCGTAACACATATCCGAACATGAGAAGGAATATGCTCAGAGGCAGAGAAGAGTTTTGGCCAGCAGTGGTACCTTAATGAATGAAACAATCACATGGTAATCCCATTGAACTTTACCAAATTCAAATAGCTATCATAATTCATTAATATAAACCGATCCCTACCACTGATACACTACTGGGATTAAACCCTAACTTAGAGAAAACAAGGATAAAACTCTAATGATTTACAGGGAGCAAGGATTTTTATCACCTTGTGTAATAATTTCCACCTTATTGGACACAATGAGATGAATGAGATCAATGACTTGGCAAATTAAATGACCTTTTATTACTGCTTTCTTTTTTCAGAAAACAGGAGTTTTGAAATAAAATCCACACTTTAGTACCAGAAGCAGAATTTATAAAGTCTCTAATTAAACTTTCAAGGTTCAGACTGCAAAATCCAAATTTGTGACTAGAGGTTTTCATTGCAAGCATTATAATATATCCCCTTACAGAGGGTTTAAAATATTTAATAATATTTCATTAATGTCTTTAAAAGCCTTGAATTTTAAAGGTTAAATAAACTTTAAAAAAATAAACCATCATTTAGAAATGGCTGGTTACTGACGTTTTCCCTTCATCACTTACCTAAATAGATTCTAGCCCTCTTGGTGCATGCTGGAGAGACTAACCAACTTGCATATTTTTGTGCATCCAGTTTACTTAGGTAGTAAGGATTAGGTTCACACAAAGACATTCAGTGTTGATATAGCTAAGTTTTAAGTTCCAGAGCCAGGAGAGGAATATGAACATAGAGGCTGAAGTTCATGGCTTATTAATTCACAAGGATCATTGTCTTTACAGCAATAGAGTTCACAACGGCTGGTAGCCTGAAGTGTAGGCTAAGTTAAGTGACTGAAAAAAGACTGTTGAAAATTCCCTTCTCTATGATTCATATGAGCTTACATATCAAGTCTTAGGTGAGACAAATTTTCCACCCAAAACCAGCTCCCAGATGGAAATACCTCGCTTATCCTTTTTCTTCAAATACAGGATTGGCTGTTTGTGGCTGTTGAGCTTGCCTGTAGTGACAGGCTGTCAAGACCTCTTTCAGCGGGTGGTTAGAGGCCAGCTTGCTGCTGACATCTCTTGTCCAGGAGTTGCTTCCTGCTCAGCAGCCTCAGTGGAGCCTCCTCCTCCATTTGGCAGTGGCTTTAAACATGAAGCTCTTGAGCTTGGCCCCCACCTGAGCTACTCTGCAGCAGCGTTGCGATTGAGCTTGCTCCCAGGCTCCTACTTCTCTGATTCTCACCTCTCTGATTCTCACTGCCTTAGCCTCAGACCTGGGTGATCTGTGATGGATCCTGGTTGCTGTTTCCAGACCTGGTCCTGAACTGGAATCACTGATTGGACTTCCTGGCTCTTTTTTGGTGAGGTTGCCATCACTGCCTGCCTAGCTGTGACTCTTGGCCCCTTGCTTGCCTTCCTTTATGGAGCAATTTGTCCTTGCTGCTGCTCGGGACAGACAGGTCTTCAGAGGAGGGGCTAGCAATATCTTTTGCTTTAAGGATGGCTCTGAATGGCAGGTAGTGGAGTGGGTGCTGAGCTGAGAGACAAAGCAGCTCTGAGAGTTACCAGGTCTCGTGTGCTTTGATCTTGGAGCTCTTTGTCTTGCGGAGGCAAAGAAAATCCAGAAAGCATTTCCTGGTGTCTGGGTGTACACAAAGGCCTAACAGTTCTGTGCTGGGAACTGTACTGGGTCAAGAAAAAAGCCCAGAAATCAGGCTGAGGAATTGATGTCTGTGTCTGACAGAACTTAATCAGCTCTTCTGGTGCCAGACTACTTTCACTGCCATTCTCCTTTTCAGTTTTTAGACCTGTATTTTTGTG